TCTTGGAGTACATCTCTATAAAGCTTGGCACATCTAGCCACTAGGATTTTTGACCATTCTTCAAGGCAAAACTGCTCCAGTTCCTTCAAGTTGGATGGATTTCGCTGGTGTACAGCAATCTTTAAGTCATGCCACAGATTCTCTGCAGAGTACAGGGCCCAGGAGTAAATAAGGCAGAGTACGGGGGTCAGGAGTAAATAAGGCAGAGCACGGGGGTCAGGAGTAAATAAGGCAGAGCACGTGGGTCAGGAGTAAATAAGGCAGAGTACGGGGTCAGGAGTAAATAAGGCAGCGTACGGGTGTCAGGAGTAAATAAGGCAGCGTACGGGGGTCAGGAGTAAATAAGGCAGCGTACGGGGGTCAGGAGTAAATAAGGCAGCGTACGGGGGTCAGGAGTAAATAAGGCGGCGTACGGGGGTCAGGAGTAAATAAGGCAGCGTACGGGGGTCAGGAGTAAATAAGGCAGCGTACAGGAGCTAGGGGCAAATAATGCAGAGTACAGGGCCAGGAGTAAATATTTGCAGATTATCCACACACATCTGCACTGTAGGCATCAGAAAACTGCCAGCTAGCACCCTTGCACAGCCTGCTGGCCCCCTGGCACTGCTGCCCGCTTCCCCACTGCTCTTCCAACCCACAAATACCTAGCACTCTGGCTCAGCAGATCCTCTAATTCCCACTTCAACAGGTGCTGGCAGGCAGAGTACGGCGGCCGGGACAGACGTGCCCAGCTTAAGTATTGCTGAAGGGGAAGGCAGCAGCATGTGTGGGCTCACAGCGCTGCTCGGGTTCCAGACTGCTGTTAAGCTTCCTTCCTTCTCATGGTGGCCCTGGCTGCCCAGCGTCACCCCCCTCCCATCTCTTCCGCACTGTCGGCCCCCCTTCCCTTGGGTGTTACGCCACCAGTGCAGCGTCCACAGTGGGTGTGCAAGTGTCAGCTTGTTACAAAAAAAAAAAATACCTTGCTTGCCAGTGGGCCAAAGAATATCTTCTCTTGTATGTGACACGTGTTAACCAGATACAAAGTAAAACATTTGGGAAATTGTTTTACCAGTCAAAAAAGTTGTAATTCTAGCCAGATGTGATCTGTGCACCCCTACCAGAAGGCATGGCTATATTGAGCTCTACTCCAAAATTTGCAAATTGCCCGAGCCTACTGCTTGTGTCGGTGAAAGAGAAACATGACACTGATGAGTAATTCATCTGCTCACTTTGCTCTCTTCTTCTATCAACATGTTTACTGTCGGCACAAGTAATGCAGCCTAGCCCACCAAGTTCAAAGAAAAATCCAATTATAAGAGTGCACTACTCTTGGTATTAAAGGCTGGTGTGCAGCTCCTGGTGAAATCAGATCAGGGTGTCTGGCGTGTGTTCTGGAAAAACAAAAAGAGAAACAGAGCACAACACCTAGCGTAATAGGGTAGGTTTTTAAAGTGGCAACACAATATTTACTGATATGCACATGTGGCAGGATTTGGAGGAAGCTCAGCTGTTTGTGACCATGAGGAGTGGCGTGGTGTCAGGTAGGTCATCCAGTGGCTGTGAGGGACTGAGCTTGGTCTGCCGGGTGGGGAAGAAGGATCCCGCACCAAATTGACGGGACAACCAAAAAATATAGCAGACAATGTGTGTACCTTGATGTTGCAATGACAGAGAAAAAACATGTACACTCACCCTCACAGCTGATGATGGTAATCTTGTGTGAGAGGTGTTAATGTTGGCTTCTCCTCAGTGTTCACGAAGAGTGGAAGGAGTCCTGCAGGATGCTCTGTGATCCCGTTAGGAAGGGGGATCCGTTTGGCCTGAGAGGATCTAAGCTTGGTGGATGCCTCATTGCTGATGTTGTTCAGTTGGTGAGCTGGCATCTTACGGTGGGGCAGATTCACTTTTGGTGGCATGGGTAGATATCAGGGATGGGTTGTTCTGAAAAGTCTATAATGATCTATTGGGATCCAACATTTTGGATGAGCTGATGTGGGAAGTTTAGTTATGGATCTGGTGTAAGTACAGCTGGAGATGTGTCAGGGTCTGTTGAATGCTGGTATGGCGAAGGGGTGGTGGCGGCTCTGCTGTGACGGTGCAGCGGTGTGCTCTGCTGGAGGGGCAAGAGGTGGGGAGAGAGATGCTGGAGAGAGGGATCCAGCAGGAACAGGAGGGTGAGACACAGTCCCGCGATGTGCACCGTTGCGCTGACAGGGAGAGGGAGGGTAAGGCAAGGTGCAGCGGTGTGAGTTGTTGTGCGTGCAAGCAGATGCTGAGGAGAGAGGTTAGCTGGAGATGGAGAGTTAGGCAAGGTGCAGTGATGTGTGTTGCTGTATGTGCAGGGAGATGTTGTGGAGAGAGCACAGCTGAGAAAGGAGAATGAGGCACGGTACAGCGGTGTGCATGTGGGGAGATGCCAGGGAGAGAGATTGGCTGGGAATAGGCAGTGAGACAGAATGCAGCGGTGTGTACCTCTATGGGGAGAACAAATGAGGCAAAGCGCTTCGAAGTAGTAACACTTCTTTTTCAAGCCGTTGCCACATGTGAGTGCATATCCGTGATTATTGTGTTACCCCTTTAAAAACCTACCTTATTGCGCTAGGTTTTGGCGCTTCAGTTCTCTCTTTTTGTTTTTCTAGCCTGACTGCCTACTATGTATGGGCCCCTGTCTTGTCTCTGTGCAGGCAATTACAGGAGGCTACCATCATCACAAATTCTGGTACATATATTAGTTGCATTAAGAAATACATTTACATACTTTTTATTGAATAAATGACTGCAAAAATTTAGTGTTTTAATTAGTTGGCTTTAAAAAAACATTTTTTTGAGCAAGGTCTTTAGCTATCTTATTGACGTATTACTGATTTGAAAACTGTAATTTTGCACCTCGCATATCAAAAGTAATGATGTTGCCTATTGAAATGTTCCACAACTCACAGTTGTTAGTAGCAATCAACAGTCCACGTTTTCTAGATCTCTTGGAAAATTTCACATCTTCCAACCTATTCTTAATGAACGTTACCTGTTAAATAAGATCACAGTGTTGTAAGCATGATGACACTATTACCTTTTTAAACTCATGCTGCTTATTTTTTTAGATGGTCTTTTCTGAAAATGGTAGATTTTTCTTTTGGGGGGGGTAGGGGGGCAAAGGTTGGGTACATATTGAATTTTCTATCTAATTAGCTGCTCCGTGTGTAAGTGCTCTTTTTTTTTGTGTGACAGATTTTGTCCCTTTATTGTGAACCTTTTCTATTCACCAAAGTGTATAAAACAAAGTCGAAGTCTGGGCTTAGGATTCGGAGTATTTCCCACACTCAAAGCAAATGATCTGAAGACAAGTGCAGGTACCTGCAAGCACCACAATGTGCCTGCACTTTATCAGTAATGCTAGTTTATACACTTTGGTGAATATGAAAGGATCACTTTAACAAAGCTGTACCTGAAAGTCTGGAAAGCATAAATAACTGGCAGTCACTAGGCACTGTATTTAATTAAATGTTGTCCTATAGCATAACTGATTCCAGCTGTCATTTCTGCAAGAAGCTGAATGGAAGCACTTGTTGCTTTGGGCAGCAAAGAGATGTTTCCTTTCGGACTCCCTTGGCACACAGGACCCTTTACTTTGAGGTCAAGATAATATATGTTTGACTCATTCTATAGTTTAGACACAATGCTGAGATCTTTTTCAACCTCGTTGTACAATGTCATTTATGGAGTATTCTATTCTGAGGGGCTCATTCACACTGCATATGCATTAATCCACACAGGAAAATGGGTTTGCATTTAAATGTTTTTGCCAGGTTTCATGTCATTTGTTGTTAAGCTTTTTTGGTGTATTTTTATGCCCTGCACTCTTCTTTAGTTTACTGTTGAAACAACATTTTTTTTAACAAAACAATTTGTTAAGTGGGAATTAGAGGATCTGGTGAGCCAGAGTGCCAGGTATCTGTGGGTTAAGAATGCATCAATAATTATATTTCTACTGTAAAATAGAGCTATTGTCCATAACCTGCAGTGGTTAACATTTGATCTGTATGGTTGCTGCAAGAATAAAAATATTAGATAATTACAAAATTAAATTGTTGGTCTAGTTTCCATGCATCAGGACCTTTTTGTATTTAGGTGTTTTGTTTTCTTTTTGAATTTTAATCAAATGTCTCTACTCTCAGAGGGGAATTTATCAAAACTGGAGCAGACAAAACCTGGAGCAGCTGTGCATGACAACCAATCAGCTTTTCTCTTCAGTTTGTTTGGTTAACATTTGAAAATGAAAGAGAGAAGCTGATTGGTTGCTGTGTACATCTGCTCTAGTTTTTGTTTGCTCCAGTTTTGATAAATCCCCCTCTCTGTCTTTTCATTTTAGACGTTGAGACATGCAGACTTTATTAAATTAAAAGGGGCAGTTATGCAGATGCCAACTTATATTTACAAAGTTCAAGGCTGGCCCTCACATGACTAGCTACCAGTTATTGAGTCTGCTCATCATACTCAGTAACCAGTAGCTAGTGGGAGGCTGAAAAGGACAGGGATCAGCTGTGTTGAGCAAGGTTTGTATTAACATATTGGGTTTTCTGGGGTAGGTGAAAATGGGTCAAGAGATATATGCAGGCAGCTGAAGCTTAGGTTGCCTGCTTAACCATTTTTATTGAAGGGGTAGGTTGTGGTTTAAATTATTGGGGTTTTATGTTTTGTAATGAGAAACAAAAAACTTTACTTTTTCTTTAATACAGCTTTGTTACCCAAGATTTTTTTTTAAAGTTTGGCAATATTCCTACACAAATTGTTTAGAAGATGGTATGGGAAGAAAAGTCATCCTCATTTGCATTTTGCTTACCACTTTTATTTCCGTGGTATCATATTGGCGAGCTTGTTTGGAATTTCAAGGTTGTGCTTCTTGATGTTCACTTTCCTTTGTTTCAAAATGACTGGGACTTCAGGCTGATTGAAAATGGCAGAAGGAATTCTGTGAGACAAAATCAATTAAGCTCTTTTTTCCCCCTCTTTGTCTTTCACAGACTACAGAATGAGAAGTGGATGAATGTAAAAGCGGGCGATATCATCAGACTGGACAACAATCAGTTTGTGGCTGTATGTAATAATTACTATTCCTTTTCGTTGATTTGCAGTTTTTTCTAAAAATTATGACTACAGAAAGGATATGCAGTTTAAGGCCTTGTTAAAAGCCTTGAATAGGATTGTGAAAGTTGGCTTAAAGTAGAACTCCTACAAATGTATGTTGGATAGAGTTGAGAAGGGTTAAAACTGTTAGATTTTTATTACTTTTATTCCTTGTTTTGGCGCATTTCCTTGCTTTATGCACCAGTGATGGTGGTCACTGAGAAAGGGGAGGACATCTGTCCAACAAGGAGACAGATGACAAAGTTCAGGTTTTTATTATTTATTTAGTAATATAAAGAAATGACAATGTCATAAACAACATTGAAAGGGTTTTAGAATATACAGTAGGATAGGAAACAGACATTTTCCACCTGCTTAACTTGGACAAAAATGCCACCAGTAGTGACTACAAATATATCATTATGGAATTAGGGGTGAGCTGGAATTTTTTACATTGTCTTCAGATCCTCTTAGTAAAGATCATAGCTGGGAAGTGGAATGTTCTCAATGGTGCTTTGTAGTTTGGTATTTGGATGAATGGGAATCATCCAGAATATTTCTATCTAAGCAGTCTAGTTGCTGAATAGAACTGAAATATTTCAAGGATAAAAATTCCAGTATTTAGTTGTATGCAGGAGAGTTTGGAAATTGCTCACAGCCTCTCTTACGTTTTTTTGCCCCCATTACTCCTTTGGGGGACATTACCCTCTCTTTCTGTCCCAGTTATAGTAGTCTTACCTTCCCCAATTTGTCCAATACTTAAAAGGTTTAAGCTAGTGTTACAGTTTATATATGGAGGCAGACACAGCTATATGTTTATCACAAATCATAGACTGAGCTGTCTACTTTACTTAATATCATGAAGATTTATAATGATCTTATGATGTATGGTGGCATAAGACTCAATAATGTTAATCATAAACCAAATCTGTCAGCTATTTTAAACTTCTAAAAAGTAAAAGTCCTGCCTAAGAGCAGGAACACAAATGTTCCTATTACTTTTGAGCCTCTTCCCTGTGTGCCTTTCTGAAATAAATGTCACTTTGTTATCAGAAGCCTAAGCTCCTAGCCTTTAGGAGTAACCCCTACCATCTGCAATTGAAACACAGAGTGTCTCAGTAGCCAATAAGGAGTCATATTAGAATAGTATAGAACTTTTGCTTTTAACAATTCAGGCCGCTAACCCTGCCATGGAATGATATGCATAATTGCTTCATTAGCACCTAATTACTTTATGAAAGAATTGATTTAAAATGTTTCAGATGCACATGTGGAGGCAGACATTTTGCATATGGTTATGAGAAATTTGTTGCTACAATCAGCCCTGTATAACTCCTTCCACTCCCAGTCTTCCTCAGTTGTTTGCTAGTGTACTTAGGGGATGGATGCCTTCTCTCTGCTCTTTTTTTTGCACTTTTCAGCTCATCTAGCAAGACTCATCTAGCAAGTTTCCCTAAGCTGTTCACAGCCACTACGGCACTTAAAGGAGAACTATGAGGTGAATGATTTTCACTCAACCTCATAGTTTGAGCCGACGCGTGACATGGAAACTGTCACACGTCGGCTCAATAGATCGTGATGTGAGCGAATGCATACCGTCGCTCACTCCTCGATCATGTCCCTGCAACTGTCACGGTTCCCTACAGGGATCCCCCCCCCTCCCCTGTCTGATCCTCCAGCACTGCCTCCAGATAGGCAGAGCCAGCTGTCACGCAGCACTTGGCTGGATCTCGACAGTAATGTCGGGATCCGTCCTGGCTGCGGCCGTCTCAGGATTCCGTGAGCTGTATCTCGCGGTATATTGAGCTTTGGGTCATGGGAGGGAGTTTATGTCCTCCCATGACCCTTAGGAGAACTATGGGGAAAAACACTTACCCATAGTTCTCCTTTTAATTGCAGCTATCCGGATCAGTTTTCTTTGTGGCAAAACCTTGGCAGACCGTACCTAGACTCTGCTCAGAAAGAAGATGCAGGACTGGCCTGTAATGTGCTTAAAGCACTGGATCCTGCATGGGGCACTCTCTTTGGCACATTGTGCAGCATGTGTAGTTGGTCCATTGAGCCCTGTCCCTAAAGACTCCCTCTTGGGGGTATGGCCACAGACAGAGATGGTGACGTCTGGATGGTCCATGTCCCCTTTAAGTGACCTTGCTGCAGAGTCAGTTGGCACTGTGAGAGTGATAAGAGCTTGTCCCTACTCTGGTTTTGCCCTTTCCCCTTTTGGGTCTAAATTGGGTTTCCATTGGCAGAGGGTGTTCACTTTCCCCATCAATTCTTTTATATTTTGCTCCTATCCCTGGGTAATTGGGAGGTTGCACCGCGCCTGCACAGCCTCTCCGTATAGGTTCTTACTGTGCATACGTCTACCATTTTCCTTTCTGGTTTGCTCTGTGCTGGCAACAAACCCTGTTCCTGTTTCTGCAACTCTGCATGCTGAGGGAGTCCAGATTCCTACTGACTGCTGTGCTGGGTTACTGCTGCTGCCTACAGTGTTTGCTCACCAGGCATATTTCTGCTCCACAGTTATGAGTATTCGGCACTTCCCTCTGGCAGTGTTTCTGGGGAGGGCCCTGTCCCTTCTGGGAAAACTGTTTATGCTAGCCCTATGCAGGTAAAGTGATCCTTTGCAGGTTCCGAAACATTGCATTTACTATTGCGGTGTGCTGGCAATATGGGTTCTACTGTTTACAGTTGGAGATGCCTGCCTTGACCTTGACAAAGTTCACTAGTGTGGATTCCCTTAAAATTCACAATCCTGCCAAAAGCTTCCCTGTACACATGCTTTTACAGTTGGTGTTTTATGGTGACTTGGATCACCCTGAGAAACATTTTACTCTTTCTAAATAACTTGCTCAGCAATTGATAATTTCCCTGTTGTATATCCAGCTTGTTTAAGCTAGACTTTAAAGGTCCCGGTAGAAGATGTTCATAGTTTTTAAGGACCACATGGAAGAGGTTAGAGGCCTTCTTTAAGACCTTGTTTGTTCTTGCAGACCCTGCTATATAATCTGCTGTTGCCACCATGGCGTTCTGTGAGATCCTATTTGTACGGTCAAAGGCTATGGCTTGGGGCCCTGACCAAAGAACTCTAAAATGTTTAGAGCTCTTTCCTGGGGCTGTGTGCTACTGCCTAGATGGCCTTGTAGATACTCTCAGTAAAAATTTCCAGGATGGGTCTCCTGTGTGTCTAAATATGATGGATTCTATGGCTAAAATGCTGGTATGCAGAGGTCCCTTGCAAAAAGCACTTGCATGCATTTTTGGCATGAATGCATGCCATTTACCCACCATTGTCTGTTTGGATAATCCTTGTATACTTATATCAAGGAAGCAACAGGGGGCAAGAGCCCCTTGTTGCCATAGAAAAAGTCAAAGCCTTCGGCAGCTAAATCCTTTGCTCCCTTTTTCAAGAAATGTTTATTTCATCCCTCCCAAGCCTTTGCTGTGGATGCATTCATGACTCCATGGGATCAGTTCAATCTGATCTATGCCTTCCATTCTCTGAAACTCTTTCCTTGGCTCCTTTGCAGGATCAAGATGGAAGGCATTTCCAGTGATCTTCATTGCTCCCATTGGGCCCAGGAGACTGTGGTATGCAGATATATTTAAACTCCTGCAGAATCTCCATGGGCACTTCCAAAAAGCTTTCTGCAGTTGCTGGCTTTTATGGCTTGACTGTTGACGTCCAGGTCTTGAAGGACAGAGGCCTTTTAGAAGCTCTCATCACTATGCTTCTGAAAGCTGGGGGATCCACTTCCCACAAAGTTTACCAAAGCACCTTGAAGGCTTTTTTTGACTTGCTTGCAATTTCCATTCCAGGGAATACACAATGGGACACATCCTGTGTTTCTTCCAGTCTGGCCTAGATCAGCGTTTAGTCTACTGTCAAGGGCCAAATGTCTCACTTGGTGATCTTTTTCTAGAAGCCGCTTGCCTTTTAATCTCTAGTAGAATGATTTGTGTAAGGGGTTGATTATGTTATCACCTTTTGAGCGCAATCCAGTGACTCTGTGGGACCTCAGCTAAGTTTTGCCGGGGCTGCAGAAGCTGCCCTATGAACCATATCCCTATGACCCTACTTAGTCGTAACGTTTTTTTCCTCATCGCCATCATTTAGATCAGGCATGTTTCTGTTAGTGTTCTGGTTATCCACAAGGATACAGTAGTACTAAGGCCTAGGGCCTCCTTTCTTCTTACTGTGGTTTCTGTCTTCCACCATAAGCAGGACATTGATTATAAGGTTTATGTCCTGCTCCAAAGCACGCCAAAGAAAAATATCTCTACTGTTTAAACGTGGTTTGAGCTGTTTGAATTTACCTCTCTTCTGCAGCTTTCATCTGCAAATCTGTCTTCCTCTTTGTTATTCCTGAGTGCCCCTGTATGGGGGAGCAACCTTCTTGTTTCACCATCTCTAGCTGGATTCAATGATCTGTCACTGAGTTGCAGGGTAAAGTTTCCCCTTTGCTTACTCTAGTCTCTAGGAGCATTAGTAATTTTTTGTACCTTCCACCATCAGGCTTCAGTTTCCCTAATCTGCAAGACTGTTAACACATTTGCCAAGTTTTGCCAGGTGGATGTTCAGGCCTATGCAGATGTTAGCTTTGGGTCCCAAGGTTCTTGAGGCAGCACAGGTGGCCCTCTAACTTGTGGCCCCTTTCTAGTATGCCTCCTTGGAGTTGGTTATTTTTCACTGGCCTGTTTGCCATTGTTTGCTGTGTTGCAGCCCTCTGTTGAATGATTAACTGTGATATATGATCAAGAAAACAGGATTTATGTCTTACCTGTAAAATCCATTTCTTGGCATACATAACAGGATGCAAGCCCCTCCCCTCCAATTTCTGTGACCCACTCTTGTACTACGTGCAACAAAACTGAGGCAGGCTGGGAGTGGGAGGTGTTTAGGGGGCTGTCACAAAGCTTTCATTGATTTGCCAGTGGTGTCCAATAAATTGACGGCAGCTGTATCATCCATCGGTTAGCTCCCAGTGTCCTGTGATTTAGTCCAAGAAACAGATTTTTCAGGTCAAAAACCTGTTCCTTACAGAGGCTGTATTTCCCCTTGCTGGCTTGGACGTCCTTACAGGACACCCAAGCTGGCAGTAGAAGCCACAGTGTGTGGAGAGATAGGCAGGTATCTGACACACCTGGAGGTATGGAATACCTGCAGTGGCCCAAGAGCAGCAATACATCAGCTCTTATCGACACAGGGCGCCTAGAAAAGTAAGTATAGATGCTATTCTTTTTAGGTTGGAGTTACTTTAGAGGCGTCCCAGTGTTGACAGTGCCCCTTTTAAACCTGTCAGTTATTATTTTTATTGTATGTGTCTCATTAGAGAGATTTACTTTTGACTTTTTTTCCAGAGACACAATAGGAACGTGAGAAAAAGTATCTCCAAATTGAGGAGAAATCCCATTTTAGAAAGTTTTCACATTAACAGGATTTCCATTGGAAGATTTCCCTCACTACATGTACCAGTGACAACTGTTTCATTTTGGATTTCCCGTTCATTTAAGTCCCAGTGACCATGGTTACGAGCACCAATAGAGAGGGTAACCTCTAAAGTAGGAATGCAGACAACCAAATTAAACCTGATGGGTAAATGTCTGTGGCAAATTGGTTATATTCACATTTGCTCTAAAATTTTTCACATCATTACATGCAGTATAACATGAATACTATTAAAAAAATGAGGAGAAACCCCACTCCTTTTATGGTGCGAACATCTGAATGTGAAAATATTGACTTTGTAGTCCAGTTTTCAGGGTATTCTATCTAGTACATGCTATAATTGCTGATGGGATTGTAGCCTTCCTTAAAGTGCACATGACATGAGAGAATGATGTCAGCTGCCATTGCTGATGTTTCCTTTTGAAAATTTGAAGTAGTATTAAAGTCTCATTTTTTTTTACATACATCTACTGCTAGCATGCAAAAACATAAAAAAAAAAAAAGCTCCCTCCTGGCTGTAGAAATCCGCTTCCTCGAACGGCCGTGCAGGAGGCTGAGTATGGGCACATGGGCAGTAGAGATCACTGGCGAGAGGAGGAGAGACTGTAAGTCAGTACACTGTAAGTCAGTGCACACAGCTGTGAGCACGCACACTGGACAGACACCGTGAGACAGGAAGAGACAGCAGCCTGCGCTGGATCAGAGACCGGCACCAGCGCTGAAGGGACTGCTGGAAACAATTGGAAGGAAGAAGAGGATCGGATCAAGAGGCATTATTTGAGGGAAGTCTTTACAGCAGTATTGGGGGGACGGGAATTGTGACTTTAATGTCACTTTAAATTCCCAGGCTGCCTTGGAACAAACAGAGATTCTGACAATTCTCTGATACTCATTTACAGCATGCTTGTTCCTATACTTTCATTAAAAATTATTGAAGCCACTGGCAGCCAGTCAACTAGAATTTCCGCAAGGAACCTAGCAATGGCAACTCACATACTTTTCTTGTAATACAGTAGATGTAAAACAACTCTTTCCTTTTTCAAGATTTACAGAAACTGCTTTCAAACATAAACTGTTCACCTAATAAACAACTTTAGTATATCAATGCATAAAAACTCGACTCCAGTCTGTCCTCCGAGACTTGGTTATTCCCACGTTGGGTGTCGCCATGCTGCCAATTACAGCTCACGTGTTAAACACACCTCTGACATTACTTTAACACTGAAATGTCCCTATTTCTGCTGGGCTTTAGGTATCTATCAGTGGCCAAGGATGTTGTTAGAGATGGGGATGAGGGTGTAGCTACTACTTTTTTAATCAGAATGTTCGTATCAGTTGCTGCACTATTTCGGCTGCATGTTTTGGGGAATAGCAGGAAAGTGTTTAAAATAGCTTGGGTATAGTTTTTGAAGGTGCCAGTATGCTTACATGCCCAAGGAAGACATTTTTTTTCTTTTAAGATGTACTGCTTGTAATACAGTATTACTTCCAAAAGATGGCAGAAAAGTCATGCTAAAAAAGTCTGTATACTTTTTTCATCTGGTTGTTTTAATGCCATGGCACCCAGAGAGCAAGCATACGACACGATTAACATGACAGCTTAAGCTATTGATTTTTCCTTTTTATAAGTGTTTTTTGAGGTTTAAGAAATGTGAAAATACAATAAGATCATTGACTATCAGCAGTGACCCTGATTATGACAGATGTCATCTGTAACACTGCTAAATTGTACAAAGCCTACATAACACCAAAGTACAGTTTGTCTTAATTTGTGAAGAAGTAAAAACAGTTGAAAGATATAATTCAAACTATATACATTGTGGGGTTCTCATTGGCATCTAGAATATAACACCCCTGAGGTTAAACAGATGCTGCCAAAACGAAATAATTCTACAATGGCATTGCTATATTCTTTTATGATACTGAATTCACAGTGGGAGGGAAAATATATAAAATGCTGTGCTGTATGTAGAATGGTTGCCTTGCCAGGTGGTCTACACTAGTCACATGATGGCTGTCTGCCACCTACGCCATGCGTCTGGCTATACTAAATATGAATTAAAGTCACAATAGAAGTACTGAAACATAATACATCATTGCATGGTCTATATTCACTAACATTCTTTTAAACCATTTTAGTTTAACTGGTTGTTCTCATCATTATATCTAGGGCGCGGTCACTCCAGACTCATAAAGTGAAAGCTTGGTAAACAATGAAACGCTGTATTTGGCCACTGTACACAAAATGAATCATGTGTTAACCTCAACAATCCTGTAACAGATAGCAGTGCTTTGCCTGGCACTAATCTTCTGCAAGCGATCTGTCCTATTTACTGTGGCAAATTAAATATTTCAGCCAAACGCATAAACCAGATACTTATCTATTTCACAGGCTGACTTGCTCCTCCTCTCCAGCAGTGAACCACATGGCCTCTGTTACGTGGAAACAGCTGAGCTTGATGGGTGAGGATCTTTTTTCTGTTATTTTATTTATAAATGCTATTTTATGTGTAGTTTGTTGTATTTAGAAGCCACAGTTAATTTTTTTCTCCCAGTGTTCTGATAAAGCAAAATACACACACAGCACTGTACTAATCATCATTTTACTCAATGTGCAGAAGTTATGGGCAATTTGAATAGTTCACTAAAATATTTTTTATGAGACTGTCATTTTATGTCTATTTCTCTGTCAATATAAAAGAGTAAAAAGTAATACACCAGGATATTTGAATGTCCTTAAAATAACTAACAGTGATATGACTTTCTAGTCAAAATGTATTATATGCTTGTAGACATAACGTGTTCAATTGAGCAATTCTAACAAATAATTTTTATGATCAATTACATATTGTGTAGGTTAAACCAAGCTAACTAAATTAAACAGCTGTGTAGAGGTTGCTGTAGATGTGGTGTTTTCACATTTAAATCCCCCACCATTGCAAAAGTATTCATAGCATGAAGTCACAGGGTGGCCATCCTGTATTTTCAGGGTCTCAAACAGTGGTTGGCCATGAAAACCAAGTGCAGCAGGCAAGAAAAAAAAAACAAGCTTGCTTCCCTTCAAAACTAGAAGTTGTTCAGCACTAATACCTGCTCAAAACTGGCATAATCTACTCCCAACTACAGTTCAGATGTGAGCTTATTGGTAGAGTTATGACCAAAAAGCTATTCTTCCAAGGAGAAAGAGCTGGAGGGTATACAAAGGGCAGCAGGTGCTCTGGACAAATTAGCTAATATTGTAAATAATTGGTACTAGCAGAAACCATTTTCTTCAATAAAGGGATAGAGAATGTAGATGAATGCCTGCAGGCAACATTAAGGCATGGTTCAGGTTCCCTGTCGGTTTAAGACTGCATTTCAGCAAACAGAGTTGGGGATTTGGTCAAAATTGATATCCCCCCTCAATGCTGAGCAGTACATGCAGATACTTAGCCATCATGCGTTGCCACCAAAGATACATTCAATCATTCCTAACTTCATTCTGCACATAGCAGTGACCCCAAACATGCAGCCAAGTTCATAAAAAAACTATCTGCAATAAAGAGAACAATGAATCTTGCATCAGATGATATGGTCCTGATCATTGAGCCATACTGGGATTATTTGCAGAGATAAAAAGAAGTAAGACAGCTAAAGTAAGCATTGGCAGTTTAACAAGTAATCCAGGCTACTTGGAACAACTTACCTTACAGGAACACTCAGAAACTACATGCAATTGTAAATTGAGGCTGGTAAAGGCAATGTGTGGTAACACCAAATATTGATGTGTTTCTTAAATTATTAAAGTTGTTCATGGCATTAGTTTTATAGCATTCTCAATTTTTTACGTCAAAGACTATTTGAGCATTTTGAAACTTCTACAAAGTTCCCCTACCTGTTCCCCTGTGCTTTGACATAATTGGCTACTAGTCAGTTCAACATCAGCATTCACCCAAAGGTATTACAAGGCAAACCCTTTTGCTTGCACTTGCCCATCACTTATGCGGTCACCTTTATATTCAGTACAGAACCCTTCTTCCTCTGGAATTCTCAGTCATATCCATCAGTTTAAAAGTGAAGAACTCAATAACTTTGTTCTGCTTAAACTGTATTTCCACTTTTGCAGTCAAATGTGAGAAAACCCCTTGAGGAGCAATTGCCCCCCGGCCCAGTCTGCCCCTGGTATCTGCTTAGCACAGTACAGACAGGTCAAATTATGTTAACAGTAACCTGTCCCGCCCCCCTTAGTACAGACCGGGTACATTTTGTTAGCAGTAACCTGTACAGACCGGGTACATTTTGTTAACAGTAACCTGTCCAGTCCCCCTTGCACTCCAGAGCAAAACTTAGTAAACTGTACCGCGCAAAATCGCACCTACCGCGAATTCTGGTGTGGGAGGTGTTGCATTGCCATTCATTCTTGTGACACTCCTGATCTGGCTTTTCCCAATATCTCTTCCCTTTGCTGCCTGGCCCTGCTTACGGTATCTCCTGCTCATTCTGACATTGTGTATATATTGTATATAGTAAGTTTGTTAGTTAGAAATTCACACTGCACTAATATTGCTGGTTGTTTGTCACCTGCGTTGCTCACAATAAATCCTGTTTTTTTCACTTAATACTGGTTTCAATGCCTGTGGTGCAGTCACATCTGATTTACATGATACCTGCATGATGTATCATGGTATAAAGAAGACATAAACCCCAACATATTAACACTTACTTTGCTACAGCACTGTATATCATAAATAGCTGCCATTTCCTTTTCATAAAATACTTGTTTTCTGAAGTTTTGTGGCATCTCAATGCTGATTATCTACTGCAGCCTTTATGCAGCCACTTTCTCTCTATATGTACGCACTCCACTTAGGGCTGCATGACATTTTTAGGGCAAGTTTACTGATGGTGACAGCAGTGGACTATGCCTGTGTAATGTATGTTTATATGGCCACCTGTGGAATGTCTTTGTAACAGGATGACAATGAAAAGTTAATGTCACAGCATGGTTGACATTATAGCTAAAGGGATGACCACTTCACTGGATACCAGAATAACTTCTTTATTTTTTTATTTTTACGGCAAACCAGACGTGGTCTGCGCCTTTTATATTACACACAGTGCTTTTTCAAAGAGTGTGACCACAGGTGTGTGGCATGAACATGTAAGAGCAGGTGTCTTGTCTGCTTCCTAGAGATGCAGGCTTCCTTTTATTAATGCTCTATTATTTTGGATAAAATGAGCTGAGCTTGGCACGTGGCATTAGCAGAAGAATGAATTGCAGAGGTCTACCTGGAGCCGTACTAATTGCCTGTCTACAGCACAGTTGAGAGACAAGGGCAGTGTCTGAACAAAGACCTTTATGCAGATTTAAAATATCGAAAATTAATTGTGAATTTACATTAACATGTTAAAGCTTATACAAGAGTTTAGAGATTAGGTTTACATATACATTAAAGCTTAGGGTATGCTTATTGAAAACTGGGCTGCAAGTTGTAATGACTCAGTTTTTTGTGCTGAGGCTGTATTTAAGAAAATAAATAATGTAAAAGTTAAAAAAAGTATTACATGTCAAAATATGTAATTCCAGACTACCGTGTGGCTGACACTGTCCTAGTCAATTGTACTGTTCTATAACAGCACATACAACTTAAACACATCTCCTAAAGCATGTGATTTAAGGGAATGGTGTTCTTTTTAACATGTTGCCCTTGAAGTTGCATTAAAGGGAGCAAACAGAGATTACACTGGGGAACCAAACCATAGAACATGATTTTATTAACAATATGAAGAAGAACAAAGGGAAAAATTCACATAGAGTGCCATATTGTACGCAGCAATTCAGTCTTACGTAAATCTTTCCTGAAGTTTCCCGGTCGGTATTATTATTATACAGGATTTATATAGCGCTAACAGTTTGCGCAGCGCTTTGCAATATAAGGAAGACATTACAATCACTATACAATTCAAGACAAGATGGCAAGAAGGGCCCCGCCGTGAGGGCTTACAATATAAAAGGGAGGGGCAAGTGATACACGAGGAGGTAGCTATGTGGGGATAATTGTTTGAGATTGGTATGGGTTGGGATTGAAGACATTGGAGTTAGTTTACTAAGGGAGTAGAGCAGCGGTCTCAAAGTACCTATACTATGTGGCCCACAGCCAGGTGACAAGGCAGGTAAGTGGTCACGGACCGCATACCTGACTTTCTGGAGCAGTTACACGTTCTGCATCTCTATTGGATGCAGATCACAGAGCTGCTCCTTCCGGCACTGAGATCCTTTCGGCTGGAGCTCAGTTCTGAACTTCGGCCAAGGATGGATTAATGAGCAGCAGCAGACCTCACTAATCACCACTAGAGCACCAGGGATCGATCAAGCCTTCTCACAGCCTCCTCCCTCCCAAAAGGTAAGCAGGAGAGGGGGCTCTGTATTTTATTTTATATGTGGGCGGGAGGGGTTAATACTTTTATATAGGGGTGTGTGTATTTTTTTTTATGTGTATGGGGCGGGGGAGGGTTATTTTTTTTATATGCGCAGGGGTAGCTTTTTTTTCTGTGTGTGGGGGAGAGGAGTATATTATTTTACATGTGCAAGGGTCGTTTTTTGTTTGTGTGTGTATTATTTTATATGTGCAGGCTACATTCACACCAGTATCGTTAGGTGCAATGCGTTTTCTGCAGCAGGAATGCCTAATCTGGTGTTTACAAGTGACAGCTATCACCTATTCAAGTTAATGATCAGATAACAGCAGCTGCATGTAAACGCCTCCATACTGCATGTAAAGATATGTGATATGATTACATTTGGTTAGGAATCAGTTACTCTCCCTGGACGCATTGATTGTGCAACCAGGGAGAGTGTTTTCTAACCGCATGTAATCATATCACATACAATTGCATGCCGTATGCAGGCGTTTACATGCAGCGGCTATCACCTGATCATTACTTTGAATAAGTAACAGCTGCAACTTGTAAACACCAGATTAGGCATTTCTGCTGCAGAAAAATGCAAGTTCCTGATGCATGAATCCCTAATTACAGATATGAATAGGGCCTTATTGTGTGTGTATTGGGGTCCGTAGTACCATGCCGGATATAATTACATTTTATTTTTATGTACGAAATTTGGCAAGCCGGCCCCCATGGGAGAGGAAAAATTGTCGTGTGGCCCCCGAGTCAAATGAGTTTGAGACCCCTGGAGTAGAGTCTGTTTACTTAGAAAATTAATTTGAAATTTTATATACTTTACTTTGCAAAGTAAATGATGGCAAATAAAATGTGAACCTTGAGTACTGAATCGTGCGAGGGAAGAAGGCCCTGTCAAAATTGTTTCTCTAGATCCGGTAATAATCTCTTCTTTTTAAAACACACATGTTTAGAATAAAAAAACATGCAATTTATTTGAATGAAATGGTATTAGCATGGTAATTTCCTCTACATTTTCTGTTTTTGATATGTAATGAAGGGTTTTTTATAATATTGTACATTACAGACAAGCCTGCTGAAATAGAAGTGCTCAAATTTGACAGTTTACAGACCTCTCATTGATGGTTGTGCAACTTATTTTTTTGGAAATCCACTTTTAAGAAATTTAGGGACAAATGTGAAAATAATGCATTTGTTTCCTTTGACTACATATAGTTGTCTAGGCCAATTAGGGTCCCTTCATATTGCCACACATTTAGAAACACTTGTTAACACAACACACTGCATTTGTGCATTGCTATTTATTGTTAATTGCACCCCAACACACTCATACAGTGCACTATAGTAAACCACAAAGTAGAGATGTGAATGCTCTGGGCGTTGCAATGCAGTGCATTGGCAGAAATAGTGTAAGACCCTTTTTCTGTATTGATGGCTCTTTAAAAATACATCACAATAGTGTGAATAGGCCCTAAGATAAAGAACCCAATGTGGAAAGCCATTGAAAATAATCACGGTTTTACTTTCACTGACACTGAGTGCAAAACACTAAAATGTGATTGGTTGCTATAGTTTGCTGACTTAACAAGGCAACATTCTCTGCGTCCTATAAGGCCCGGGTTCACACCTAGGCGGCATCGTTTTTGCACTGTTAACTGCCCAAAGAAGCTCATGTACCTTTTTGGGCTTTTGGCGTTTTGCTGCTCAGGTGTGAAAAGGGGCCATTGAAAATCATGGGATTTCTTGTGTTTGGGCATTAAAAATGGCTTTCCCAGCTGCTCAGAAATGCCTAGGTGTGAACCAGGCCTAAACAGTTTTTAATCAATTCAGTTACATTACTTCTGTTGCAAACAGTTGCAAAGTGAAGAGAGCTGATTACTGTAAAAAATAGAGCACCGCAAAAGGAGTTTACCTGTGAGACAGAAATGCACATAGATTTGAGAAGAGACATCTTCTAAACATATGCAAATGTGCTCATAAACATTCCTAAGTATCTTTTGTGTAAGTATGAAATGTCAGATCCAATCAAAGCAGAGTTTAAGTAATAGTGTTTTGGAGGAATTCGGTATTGCTCTTTTTTTTTTTTTTTTTTCAAACAGTAGTGTTGCATTTATGTGTAATGCATTTATATGTGACTGCTCTCATTTTTAATATGACAGACTGTATGTCATTACTTTTTTTTTTTTTTTCAGGGAAACTAATTTGAAGGTTCGGCAAGCTCTGCCAGTGACGGCAGACCTTGGAGAAGATATTTCCAGGCTTGCTGAGTTTAATGGTAATTGCTTTACGTGCCATTTATAAAGAGAACAGTTCTGTTCATGGTTGGTAAAATGGAAATGATTATTTATAAATGTTCCTCATATGTGGGTATAATCCTCATCAAGAGCTGCCCAGTGTTGCTGTTACATAATTTTTGTCCAATTACAGGGACCTTGTACTCGCTATAGTCATGGGATCATTTGCTTTTTTTTTACTAGGTAAAGGAAATGATCCTGAATAGAACACACTTGGCTGTGCATGTTGTCATTTTCAAATGAGTAGCTACCCTATCATCTGAAATGATGCTTGACTCAGCTGCTTAATTTGCAGTCAGTGGAATGGTGTTCCCACAAAATTTTAGGATCTGGTAGGTTATTGGAAACAGTTTTTGATGTAGCTCGTTCCATTTTGGGGGTGCACATACAATTCTAAACAGAAAACATAACTGACATCTAGTTCTACAACATGAAAATAGTTGATCTAGTGCAAATGATTCATCCTGTGCAAACAAACCAACTTTTTTTTTTTAATTCTTTATTTTCGGATCAAGAATATCCATACAAGAACACTGCACGACATTAAGAATATAATACAGGTAGGATGAGAGGTGTCCACACTGACACAAGGCAGCTGTGCAATTGCACGGATCCTGTAACTTTTCCAATATAGACATATTACACAATGTACATACATGGGAATACATAAAAAACTAACATAGGAAAGGAAACTTTAACATGTGTGTACCTGTTGCCTTTCTCAGCAGCTCTACATTTACCCGTTTTGTCCCAGATATATGTGACGCCCCTCTGCTATGTAAATCTTCTGAGATAGTACTGTCTGCCGGGGCATAGAGTGTGTGGTTCATGGACAAACCAACTTTTGAGAGAATGGAGAAAAATTGAATGTTCTTAGGCTATTATTTTCTTGATTGAATGTTCGTAGGCTACACAATTCATCAGAGTCTGTCTCAGCAGTGCATAAAAACACGTTCCAAGTAATCTTCAACTTCAGTTTACAACAGTGAGAGGGACACAGGGACAGAATTTGATACAGAGAAATGCAGTTGAGAAGGTGTAAGTAAAAGCACCGGATAAGTGATTTATGAGGGAAGAAACAATGCAACAGCCAGGGTACTGCCGGTTATGAGATACTGTTAACAATGTTCAAGTGAAGCAGGTTATGGAAAGGAAAAGTGAAAGTGATTACTGGGACCGCTATTATGCTGGAGGATTGTGATTTAAAAAGTACCGCAGCACTGAATACTGAAAAATGGCCTGGATGGGAAGGGGGTTTAACACCACGGATGTCAACTGGTTAAGGGAAAAACTTGTAAACTGAAGCTGAGCATTACTGGGCACTTATGAAACTAGTGTTTTTTAACCATTGCTGAGAAAGACTCTGACACTTGAGAATTGTGTAGCCTAAAAACAGTCAACCAGAAGAGGAAATAGCTTAAGAACATTTGATTTTACCCGTTCTAGCAACAGCTGCTTTGTTCGCACAGAGTGAATGTACATACAGCTTTGCTGGACCATTAGCTATGCAATTTTTTTTGGGGGAAAAAAAACCTTTACTGTCACCTTGATTTTCTTTCTTCATTTCTTAAAGGAGAGCTATGGGATCAGGGCTTTTCCCCATAGTTTTCCTAAGGGTAACGGGAGGACACAAACTAGCGTCCTCCCCGTCACCCAAAGCTCAGTATACCGCGAGCTACAGCTCACGGTATACTGAGACGCCGCAGCCGGGACAGATCCCGACATTACTCTCTGGATCCACCCAGCGGCGAGTGACAGCTGGCTCTGCCTACCTAGAGGCAGAGCCAGCTGTACCCTCCCCCATCCGTTCCGCCAGTCAGCGTTGGAGGATCGGACAGGGTAGGGGGAATCCCTGCAGAGAGCCGTGAGTGACAGTCACGGCTCTCTGCAGGGAGAGGATTGAGAAGTGAGCAAGCGACGCTATGTGTTCGCTCACTTCCCGATCTATTGAGCCGACCTGTGACAGTTTCATTGTCACAGGTCGGCTAGAACTATGAGGCTGAGTAAATTTTCACTTGCCTCATAGTTCTCCTTTAATACCAAGAACCATTTTTCCACCTTGTGCCCTTTTCTATAATGCAAACCTCTAGGGTAGTTCTCTCTACATTATGACATGTTATTATTTAATCATATAAATGTATATCACCTGCATTCTAGTTACTAATATACACGTATTCACCATTTAGCTTTTTTTTAAAAACCTTTTTTCAGTCATGATTCCTTTACATGTGTCTGTATGTCTCTTTTCCTCCTTTGACAATTATCTTAAAGCAGAAGCATTAACTCCCACCTTATGACCTTTCTTCTTACTTACTGAAACTTATCTCTGCTGTCTACTGAAACGATGCCTTCATTTGTCTTCAAAATTAAAGTTGCATGTGCAACATGATGACCTGGGGAATGATAGGTGGTACAATGAGAGAAAAGGAAACAGTAATGGATGCTCTTAGACAAGTGGGTCATTCACACCAAATTCCCTCATCCTCCTCCAGGGTGCCATAGCCCATCTCACTATCAATGTGTCATGTGCTCTCCAGATGGATGTTAAAAGAAGAAAAGGCTTTTTATCTATGAGTTGAATTCCCATGGTTCTTTACATTATCAGAGGGCTCTGATGTCATGAAAATCTAGGCCACATTGTTCAAATAATTGTTCCATGCTAAACGCTGCTTTGACATCAAAATATGTTTTAGAACATTTGTGATCAAATTCTGGAAAACTAGCATCTATCGGTGTCTTAAACACATCCTGACTCCTATATTTATTATGTGACTAATCCCTGTTTTACTGTTTTAACCTGTATTCAAGCAGCTGATTTAGAGGATGACGTCAAAATGATTATGATCAGTTCAAAGACTGGGTCCATCTGAGTTTTACATTTTAATGTATTGTGCTGGTTTGTTGCAGCATACAACAGCCAATTATATATCTGTGGGTCTCCAGCAATCTGGAGCTATCCCTTGTGTAGTCACTGGCCTGACCCTCACTGACCCATAACAAAACTAAACAAGACTTTTAAGAGCCATGACAAAGAAGCATGCTAGGCCTCAAACCCTGTAATGATGCAAACTGCCATTATTCAGATGACAAACTGGCATAATTTGTTATACACTTTTTTTCACATGCTGTTTTTTACAGGGCTCATTCAACACTTTGCTCCAACATGTGGTCAGAAGCATATCATAATCCTATGTGTTCAAATGACTAAGAATGCCATTGTACATAGACACGCTGAATCAGTCAGTGCATTCAAAAAAGAGCAGAAATCAACTTATATTACATATAAGACAGTGTTGTATTTACCTGTATATAAACCCTTATTAGTGCCTGGTGAATTTATAGGCTGCATTATTGTTTATATTTAAACGTCAAGGTGGCTGCCTCTATGGTACACAAAGGATGGGAACAATACAGTTGCACAGAACATTTCAGTAATGACTGAGAAGAAAATAGATGTCCTTAAGTTTGAATGTCAGTGTGTTTAGATAACGTGAAAAACACAACACCATCACAATTACCCATCCATACCACCAGAGTGATTTTGGTTTATTCGTATTTATTTTTAAATCCACATTCTCTGGAACAGTCTGGATGATTCTTGGGAAAATGTGATGTCTTTTCTGAAGTAAAGCTTGAGGAGAGATTTCTTGAGATATTGTTTAGACATGAGTGAGAATCCAATGCAAATTGGTGCCTTTTCCAAGTTTGAAAAAAAGCCCCAGAAAAAAAAAAAATATTTTAAGACAGCCATCATTATCATGTTGATATAAAGCTTTCCAAAATCAACTCGTCAATTAATAATGCCATATTTTAGTAATGGAACCCAGCCTTTTTCAAAATGTCATTGGACTAATAAAAGAAAAAAGGATGATATAAAGTAAATAATTTAGACACTAAATAAATTTTGTTAATTCTTTGCATAATGTTTATGCCAAACCGTTTGTTAATTTAACTTTTTTAATCCATGTTTAAAAAAATCCAAATATGGTTGGTTATTTTTACATAGTTTTCACTGGTAGTAAAATAGCTTTTTATGGCATATCTTAGTATTCCCAAATACCAAGAATGTATTGTAATAACGAGAACTGGAAAGTGTGGGCTATTACATATGACATGCTCAAATCATCTTCCCAGCAAGTGATCACGTTCACACAGAGACAAAACTAAGATTCTTGTGATGGAGTCACTTCGTCATTATTTTAATTAAAGGTTAGATCCACATAAACCTAGTATTTACTTCATTGGTGCTGGCATGTTCCAGTACAGTACGTGTTTGCTTCTTATATTTTTCTGCATCTTGCTATCTAGCTCTTTTCGCCAGTTATCACATCTTTTTCTGCTCATGGACATAACAGTTGGTGAATTAATCAGTTTCCCCCATTGAGGTTCCTAATTAAGTAGGACAGCTATCACAATTTTTTATT